CGCTAGATTTCTAAAGACTGATCAAACACAAGCATAGTCGCCGAATTTGTACTTGGATTTTTTTGATTAAGATCTAACTTTAGTTACAAGTGGAGATTTTTTTTTTTAATTTTGCTTTACTTGGTGGGTTGTTTTGGTTTTATCGAAAAAAATTTTAATTTTAAAAATTCCCCATGAAAATTTGTCCTTAATATTTTCCCAATATCTTAATCAACTTATCAAATTCTTTTATTCGACAAAATTTTACCCACTTATTAACCTGTCTATATTGAATTAATCAAAGAATATTAAATCTTCAAATACAAACCTGAAACAGTAAAAATAAATAATTCCGTACAATTACTCAGAATTTAAATTCCAAAGAAGTACTTATAAAATTAATAATTTTTTGCCCGCTTCATGAAAACATCCAGGTGAATAATATTTCACTGACATGTATTTTTTCTTGAGCAAATATTTGCGCTCGCGTATAGTAAAGAGATCGACTAGATCTCTCAGGATATGTGAAAGAACATTTTGTACGTGTACCTATAGATGGATACGTTATTATAAACACACACATCTATACATACATATATATATATATATATATATATATATATATATATATATATATTGTAAACTCAAACCCGGAGCCCGAGGCCGAATAGTGATATATATTGGCTGAGCTCAATTCAATTTTTACAGAAATCAAATTGAAATCAGAATTCCAATACGCAGAAATTTATTTATCCGTGCTGGTACAGTACAGTACAGTTGGATATGTAAAAAATATATTTTTTATCCATGTCCCAAAAATAAACAAAAAAACCAACGAAAAAGGCGTTATTTAATGGCTAACTCATTAAATTTAACAACAAGACCCTTTTTTTTTATTTTTCCTCGTTTTCGTCCCGAATCATTTAATTGTTTATTGTAAAGGCACTTGCAAATAAATCGGAAATCCAGATAATTGATTTCCGTAACCGTGATAGTAAGCCACGAGCGGAGGTTACGTTCTATCCAAGTAATGTTTCATCTGAAACCAATATTGGAATTGTCTGGCTCGAAATAGCAGAGTCCTCTACTATATACTCGTTTGGTTGTAACTTCAGGTTGGGAGGTGTAGGGATCTTAGTACTCCTGCTCCGATCCACTAACTTCGGCTATTTATCCATTGTCAAGTGTAATTTACGATCTTCGGTAAGACTAAAGTCTTCAGATCTACCTTTACCGTATTCTTACTCCTTTAATATATAGTTTATAGTTACCCGCTCCTAATCGTTAAATACTCCTTCCATTACTATATACTATGTACTATTTCTATATACACTCTCGATGCTTAATGGTTCTCCTCCATTTCTGTTTAATTACCTCTTTTATTTATTTAATTATATTTGCTCCTATTTTTCTTCCTCTGCTCTTCGACATCCAGCCTCTGCCGTCGTTAAGTTCGAGAAAACTTTAGCATGCGAAATTGGATTTAAAGTAGATTATATCCTTCTGCATAGCAGTACTTTTGTTACTTTTATTTTAAAATATTTGGCACACACGTGCTGTGGTATTTGGCAAAGACTTCGAGGGTAACCGAATTAATTTGGTGTGTAGACGCTGTGATTGAAAACAGATTCGATCTCGTATTTCGTGGCTAGAAAAAGTTATGGGTAAAACGGGTCCGCTCTGTAGACTGAATATTTGTCGAGATGGAAATTTATTAACATTGAACCGTTATACTTGAACCGTCAATTTTTTCTGAGGCAAAGAGAAGTTATTTTAACTCCATAAAATTTCCTTTGATAAATAATATTGAAATGTTGGATTTTAAAATAATTTCAGGTAGAAAATATTTATGCTTGAATAGAAGAATGAAATATTTAAAAATACAAAATTTGAAGTTTAAAAATATTTGACTTTTAAAACCTTCTAATATAAAAAAAATTAATTTACTGATTTTTTTTTTTTTTTTTTTTTCAAAAAGGTCATTCTAAAATCTAAAAAACACATTATTTATATTAAACTAAATGCTAAATATTAATATTCGTGAATTCATCGAAATTTATGTCCGTAGAATAATAATATATATTTCAAAGTATATTTATTGGTAGAGCGTGCACTAATTGTTGTTACGATTTAGTCGCAGTTACACAGACTATTGGGCAATGAAACTGCTGCAGGCGCAATGAATTTCGCATTATCAGCGATTTCGATTTATGTTCTAGTATCGGAGTATCGTAAGGGAGCGTTGTACGTTGTACGCGAAACGTACAACCTAATTCGGATTACACTAAGAGATTACCGTCCACCGCAGATAATGCATTCGATATACTGCTGCAACACACGAGAAATCATTTCCTAGCACTGGGAATTATACGTCTCTAGATCAACTCTTCCTGCTAATAAATAACCATTTGCGCTAATCATTAAATCCTTTCAATTAAATCTGCATTCATCACTCGACTTTCTGCATACGCTTTTATTATCGCCAATCAGACCGCTGATAGTTCAAATCGGCAGATCTGAAATTGGGCTGGAAAACAGCCACTTCATTCCTTACAATAGTGAATTATATACGTATTATTTATTCTTTAAAATATTTCATTACCTTTTGTGATTATTAATATTATCATTATTAATTTTTTTGTTGCAGGTAAGAACCAAAAACCAATATATAAATCATTAAATAGGATAGTACAAATTCAACGAAGAAGTAAAGGGGAAGGGTGAGAAATGAAAATTCATTTTTAATATAATTATATAGCGCTCTTACAAATGCACTTACACTTTTTCCCCGTTGTTATTTCTGTTTATTTTATCAACAAGTGTTGTGACAATTCATACCAGATTGATACTGTTATCAAAATTTATCTTCTGCTATTCAAATATTTAGTTCCAAACACGATTAGACTCGCAATATTTCCCCCAGTATTATTATTATTATCATCATCACTTTAATTTCTATTAGATCGTAAACTCTAAAACAAAATGTCGCCATGTCCGAAAGTGAGTAAGCGTGTGAGTTATATGAAAATAATAAAAATCCCCGGGAGTATCCGCTATAGAGAGTATATGTATACAATAAACTATCCGCTGTAGAGTCTTGGGAGACACCACGGGAAGCCAGCGGCGATCGACGACTCGTGACCCACTTCCTCCTCGGCAGCGACCCAGATGCGGGGGTGCCACCACCACTCAGACAACCATCATCCACGACGATATCTCTCCAAGATATCTCTCTAGCCTCCTTTTTTTCCACGCTTTCTCTTGCTTCTTTCGTCTCTCTCGATTCCCATTTAATTTCCCTCTCTTTCGCTCTCATTCCACTTGACGTCTTAATTAAGTTTGTTTTTTTTTTCTCTTATACCTATACTTATACCTGCACCTGACCCGAGCTTAGTCAGCCAAAGATGGACCAAATAAAACGCTACAAGCAAGCCTATAGCCAGACTCTAGTACAGGAACTGTATAATCTAAGAAAAAAGTTTATTAAAATATTAAATAGATGGAAGTTTGCTAGCACGTAGGTTAATTGCAACGTTCGCCGGAAGGAACCGTACCAACCGGACGTCCCAAAGTTTTGCGGTTCTGCACGTTTGCACCGAGTTGTTAAGTATGGTTCTTGTCTTGCTTCTACTTGTGATGACGGAGAGCATTGCATAGTAGCAGTTGCCTGAAGAGGACTTTCTTCTCCTCCTTGAATGTAATGTCAGAGGACACAAGTACCAAGGACCACGTGTTAAATCGAATAAGAATACTAATCATTGAAACCAGCATTGGGACAACTAATTGTTCGATCAATTGTCGGATTGTTTCTTTGCTTTTTAAAACCAACTAAAGAAGCTAATGCTGGTTTGGAGCTGAAAAGAATTTCGGTATACAAGGGTGGAGAAGTGGGAGTGAGTTGTTACAGTGCAGTTGGTATGGTAGAAATATATAATACAGAATACTGAATAGAAGAAGGGATGTCGGCGCGATGTCAGTACAGTAGAGAATAGAAGGGTTTCCCCCATGTGCCGGTGTTTCGTGTAGGATCGAGAGAGACCGAACGGCGCACGAGCGACTGAAGGAGAAAGGTATATAATACCTCCCGGTGGGGTGGTGGGAGCTCCAACAACACTGTGTTGTACCAGCAGAGAGCAGTGAATAGTGAGTGGTGATGGTAATGGTGGGGATCAGTCGAAACCAACTTTAGGTCCAGGACTAGACGGTGGCGGCTTGGATGCGCGCGATCAAACCTACAAACTTCAGTGTCGCTCGGACCGCGGCCACGTACTGTGGGCTGCGTTATAGTCCGATTCTTCCGGTTTTTGTTATAGTCCAAGTGTTGCCGTATCGTGTGTTTGACTTATTGCGACCGTCGATTTTATTTTTTACGTATTTTAGTGGCCAGCTCGGTTGACCCGATTTGCTTTGATGCCGATTTCAGTAAATCGTTTATAAAATATAGTAACCGCTGACACGTAACACGACATGGGATGAATCCTATCGGTACCGGGAGAATAAAAGTGACCGTTTTTGTTTAATAGAGTTTTGGTTATAGTTTTGGTTTTTGTTTTGGTTTTATTTTCTGTTGTGATAAGAGGTTTGTGATAAAGTTTTTACCAACAGATTGGGTTATGTGCAATACCGAGCGTACTTTCAGTTAGATTGCTACGACAAGTAAATAAGATTGCCAAACGGTTTTGGATTGTAAAATGAGCCGCGCCTCTCAGGCCGGCTTGGAGGTGGAGAGATACATTGGAAGTTGTTTGATATCCTCAACACTGAGACCCACTTTGCAAAAGACTATTGTCAATAATAATAACAATAATAATATCATCACTAATAATAATATTAATACCAATAATACCAATAGTAACAACAACAATAACAGCATTATTTGCACGAACAACAACAACTGCACCAGCAAAAAAGAAAGTGTCGGCGTGAGCTTACGCAACCCACACTATCAGCAAAGCAACTATTCACCTGGAAGCAATGAACAGTGTCAGTTTGGTACTTGGACAGGTGCTCCTTTAATCTCCATGACGTCTAGTCCCCGGAGAAACAATCAGCGATCGTCTCCATCACCTTGTCAACAACAGCAGCATTCACCGATTGAGCCACAATCACAGCCGCAGGCTCAATCTCAGCAGCATCAAACCCACCAACAGGTTTCTTCGCATCTCCAGAACCGAAGTCCCCTGTCTCGTCTCGCGATTCATACGCAAGGGGCACCCTTAATTCTCGCAGGACGCTTTCACAATCGTGGAAAGCCGGTCAATTCGAACAATGTGATTGCCGCTCCTAATGTCAACAACTTTTGCAACGTTAATATCAACAGCAACGGCAACACAATGTCAGTTGGAAGGTGTCCCCCGGTTAGAAGTCTCAAGAATATTGTTGAAGTTCCCAGAAAATTACAATCCCAGCACCAATATGTGTCCGGGTATCAGCATCAGCAGCAACAGCAACAGATTCAACAACAGCAGATGCAACAACAACAGATCCACCAACAGCAATCACAACAGCAAACGATAAACCTTAAGAATGATTGTCACGGGAAGTTGGACAACAGCTCGGGGGCAAGTATCGCGAATATCGATTCGTTGAGCATTGCCAGTGACGAAAGTTCGAACAACTGTGAGAATAGTTTACCCCGGATAATAAAGCCCCGTAAGCGGAGGAAGAAGGACCGTAAGCCGACCAATGTTGTTACAACGGAAAACTCTAAGCCGGAGGATAGAGACAGGGATAGGGATCTATCGGTCTCGATGAATCCCGGTCTAATGCCCTCGGGGATGAACGGGGATCAATCTAATTTGGTTACACTTAAACCGTATGTGCCGGTTTGCTACGAGGCAATGAGATACGAGCTCCCCCAGCAGCAACAGCAGGGAACAGTCCAGCATAGGGCCCACAGGAGGCCACCCGTCACCAGGGAAAGTTACTCAGGTAGAACCCAGACACTTATTCAGCAGGAGATTGTCGACACGAGGCAGAGCAGTAGGTATGCGCATCGACACGCGCAGGTGAAAGTGCTCGACGACAACCGGAATGTTGTGGTGCCTGTGCTCGTTCGCACGAGTACAACAGCTCTTGCCAAGGGATATCGCAATCACAATCACCATCCGCCCGCCAACAATAATAACAACAACACCACCAATAACAGTTGTAATAACAACAACAGTAATAGTAATAATTGTAATAATAACAATACCAATAATAGTAATAGTAATAATTGCAACAATCGATTGGTGCACGGCAACCCTGGTAACAGACATCGTTACATCAACGGGTATGACAGCTGCGAGAAATCTGGGTTGGTTGATGACCCAGGATCCTGTCAATGTCGGTACTGCAACCCCTCAGGTCTCATCTGGGACGTCGATCAGAACGGGTACTCACCCTTCCTGACCCCTCCTCCTACCAGCAACGGGAGCAACAATGAGTTTGTTCAATTTTCCCAGATACCTCTGTTCCTGTCACGGGCGAACCTTGGAGGGGGCTGTCATCAGGAGCCCTCCGAATTCTTTGACGTGGAAGATTCCCTCAGGGGACCTCATCATCACCAGCACCAGCACCAACATCAGCACCACCAGCACCATCACCAACATCTCCCAGTTCCTGTTGGAGCCGCTCGGGTAGGTCACGAACGGCTGGAACCCCCTGGGGGTGCACTCCTGAGACGAAGCTGGAGCGATCCCTCGAGCTACTTTAGCGAGCAAATCTGTGCTCCGAGTCGTGACGTTGGAGTAATTGGCGATCGAGGGCAAACTGCTGAGGCGCTTGCCAGAGGTAGGAGTTCTTGGCCCGGAAGTCCATCCTACGTGTCATTGGGAACAAACGCCTCGGGGCTGTCTGGTAGTCTACCAGGTAACTCGGTTACTGGCCAGAGCCTGGAGGTATCGACCGAAATAGTCACCTCTCACAACGGGCATCGGGACCTGGAGATAAAGTTCTTCAGTTCCTCGCCCAGCTCCATCCAGCCGGAAGAAGAAAAATCACCATTCCCAGAGGACAACGAGGACTTCAGTGACATTTGGAGCTATCATGAGTCCAAGCTTCAGCAGGATTTCCGGACCTTGCTGCAGGCCGAAGAGTGATCGAGATTTTATTGAAATAAGTTGATAGGAAACAGGACATTGATTTTAGAGAAATAAAAACTGCAAACAAGTTGTAAATGTTTATGTCGATGGATGGATGGTTGTGTATGTATGTATGTATGTGTGTATTGTAGCTTTAACGAGCGCATGAGAGTACAGAGTGTGCGATGAAAGCGAGATCGTTATTGGAATGAAATTGGAAAGCCGTCGGAGCGTGGAACAAGTCAAAAACCCGAGGTTGACTAGCTGCGAGAACGAGCAAAAACAGGTGGACTCTTATACATTTCACATACATTGATACACTAACATAACACAGCAGAAATGGATGTGTGAATGCATGCGTGCGTGCGAAAGTCTACCGCTGGCAGCATATTACTCATGACTGGAGCGGCAAACCTAAACCGTTAAACCTGTGCTCGCACTACATAACAAACTTACAAACGAAGGTTAAAACATACGAACGAACGAACTAACAAATTGGTGTAAACTGTACAGTAGTAGCAGTCGACAGACAACCACAGTGAAGTAGTAGGCTACAACAACTAGGGTTTGTAACTTGGTATTGCATCTAGGTCTACACGACGGTACTTGTCTCTGGTCGTTGGTAGCTCGTCTATCTGTCTAGCTGTCTGTCCGTCTATCTATCTATCTATTCACCGTCAGACAACCAATGTGTATGTATTGTGCATAAACCTGGTGTAGTCTACGCACGGGTGACAACCGATGAATAAACCACCAAACAAGACGATCCTTGCCTAACGGTTTAAGTAGTAACAACCAATGTTACCTTCAACACCGTGTTTAATTGATGACTAGCGAAATCACGACTGTAATTGATCTCTTCCTTACTGTCATTATCATTATTATTATTATACTTTTTCAACACACAATATTATTATCATATCCTTAATCATGTGCACGCGAGTAATGAAATGTTCACCTTTACGATCACCAAGATAATATTATGTCCTGCGTCACTCATTCGCGTGCGGACATTGATCAAGGTGTGGAAGCGTCAAGTCCCGCCTATTGCTTCTTCGTCACCGTCATTGTCAACGCAACCCGGTCAGTCCTTTCGCAATTCATTTACCATCTATCATCAGCCTAGTACCTGAGATACACTATCAGCACACCAGTATCAGTATCAGTATCATCAACTTCAGAATGAGTCTCACCCGTAGACCCAGCTCTATCTCTAGCTCCGGCATTTAGCTTGAGCGGCATCCACTTGTCTACTCTTGCACACACTCAACTCTCACATCCACACACGTACACATACGGCATGTAAAGGGTAAAACCGGCGTTTAATTAACGCATCGGACATGTTGTTCGCGTGATCGTCGTTAGTGTAACGTGGCAATTAATAGAGTAGCGAGCATGGTAGCTCTAGGCCCAATGCTTCGACTCTATTCACCTTAGAGGAAACGCGAACGAGTATACCTACCTGGTACAAGAAAAGACAAGTATTACCATGTCTTATGTGATATGAGATTCAACGTCGAATAATGACGCGTTGTCTGTATCGATAATCTACAGTTTCCAGCATACCAGCTCCAGTTAGATGTCTGCTATATGTTCTACGACTCCTCTCGGTAGCTGGTTCATTTCCGCTCCAGGCACATCAACTACACTTTCTTTTCATACTTGTCCCCTGGAAATTAATTATTCATCACCGGCAATTAATAATCTGTAGGATTCTGAAACTTCTAAATCATTATTAACGATCCTCCTTTACTTGACGACGTTGTCAACTAAACGGGGCCGATGACCTTTATCGTATTATGTTAAATAATGGTACCGGCATTACGTGGGTCGGCAAACTGTTATAATTCGCCCACGTGCTTTCCATTCATACTATTTAGACTTTAACCCGTGTCCACGCCTGATATTTTTCGTTGTTTAAAACTTTTTATTAATTCGATATTTATAGTTCGGTATTTGTCATTCTTTAAAAGTTATTTGGCTTTCGACATTCAATCAGTCAAACTTTTATTTCGAATTGTGTTGTAACAATTGAGCACTAATATTCGATCATTTACATTCGATGGCGATTAATCTTATAACTAAAATTGATGGATTGGAACATCGACAGATAATTTATTTTAGTTTGAGCGGAGAAATTTAAAAAAATGAACCGAATTATTGTAAATGGTAATTGACTTTAATAAATTTTGCAAAATGGTTGACCCTGCAGAGCATTTTTAAAAATTTTTACTATCTTCAAGCTCAAAACACTCGTAAATTTACCGATCAGTCAATTTTTTTATTTTTTTCTCAAATTTAAGAATTTTTTTTGAAGAGTGTTTTTTTTTTTTAAATTAACAAACTGCGATATTTTTAGAAGACGTTGTTCCATTTTGACGTTCTTGACGGCATTCGACGCATTTTTTCAACCACAAAAAGTGGATATAAGGTTTTGAGTCAATAAATTGATAAATTTCAAAGTTATTTAAAAAAAACGTAAGAAAATGTTACTTCTTTGAATATCTTCGAAACGGCTTGACTGATTGACTTTAAAATCTTATCAGCTGCCCAATTTTTCCAAATCTTCTATTTGTGAATGCATAAAGTTGAAATCTATCCTTCGGTGAAGATATCAAGAGCATCAATTGATTTTGTTAATAAACAAATTTCAATCATACACCCACCCTTGAAGGCCAAACAAACAAAAGTTAATTTTTGGTATCTCGGAAATATTTATCCATCCATCCGTCTCTTTATCAGTTAATTTGTTTGTTTGCTTGCTTACTTTATTAACTTAACAAACTAAACGAATCTGTTCCTCTCGATTTCTCGTTCCTCAAGGACAATCCAATTGCCGTTGGTATAACGAACTTAATTTATAGTATACACTACACTAGTATCGAGAAATAGTTTCCACGCGAATGGATTTGTCGTAAACGAAGTAACCAAGTACATCGAGACAGAGATCTTGTCTGTCAATTCGCTTAGCTGCAGCGCTTGCGTGTCTCCAGGGTATCCATTATCCTCGTACTCGTGTAGCCTTACTGTTCGTACTACGTACTACATGCAACATACTACTACTCTTACTCTTTCAATTCCACACTCACATACATGCATTCATGCATACAAACCCATGTGTCCATACCGTCGATCGATGGATCAGATTCATCGATTGCCAGAAGTAATCGAACGCAATCTTGCACCGACCACTTTAATCGCACTTGCTCCAGCTTCACCTAATTACAGTCTAGTGATTGCTCCTCATATTTAAGATTTAGCAAAATGTTCGACAAAAGAAAGGTTCCACTGTTCGACTTGCCAGTATGAAATCGATTATTCCCACCGAGTTCTCGCTCGTAATTTTTTTTATCATCTAATGCTCTGTATGTTACATAACAATAATGTACTACATGTATGTTACACATATGAACTAATATGATTATTGAATATTTACCGCGTAGGTATAAAACAAAAAAAAAATATATATATATATATATATGTAGTTTAAATATTCGATAAATATTATATTATATTATTCGGTAGATTACTAATCATACGAGTGGCAATTACTGAGTGTGTGATATAAATATTAATATTTGTACTTTATAAACAGACTGTGTTATATATATGAAATCTCGACCAAGCCGACTTATTAACTCGCTGTGCGATCGTCGCTTTGTCGTTTATGAATATAAATATTATTATTATTATAAAGATAAATTCAAACAACTAAATGTGTGCGAGGACGTGTAAGACCCACTGGGAAAAAAAATAATGGTATTGAATTTAGCGGATATTGTTCAAATATTGAATTTTTCTTTAAAAAAAAAAAAAATACATTTTGCACTCGAAGTTTTAGAAAATTTTTACGTGTGCAAAATGTTTTTTACAGTAGGACATTTGAAAAATGTCGTCAGCTAATTTCAGTATCATAAAGAATAAACTTAAGCTAAAAATTAAAAAAAAAATGATTAATGATTATAATGATAATTATTAATTATTCAGCATAATTAGAGTTTGCGCGCATCTAAAGTATAAACTTGCATGTAATTATCGGTATTTTTCGTCACTATCGCTTGCTGTATATTTATTGTCGTTTTTTTTTTCTCAGTGTTTAGGTAAATTGTCGAAAAATAATCGTAGGTTACAAATTCATAATTATAAATGATAAGAACGATAATTAAGAAAAATAAACATTGTGTAATATTGAATATTAATTAGGAATGTATGTACATATGTAATAGTAATTAGCTTCGGTATATATATATATATATATATATATATATATATAATATTATATTATATATGATAGTATTTGCACTGATATCAAATAAATTATTTAGCTCGTTATTTTTATTTATAAATCCAAATCGCATTTTCGCTTCTAATGGTGAAGCGATCACGCGGAAAATCAGTGAAAGGCAAAAAAAGAGAATAAAAATGAAAAATTGTGGATCTTTTATAAATACGTAGAACAAAAGTACTAGTTTTTTTTCTCTCTGGCACCACAAGTGTAAAACGGAAGGGGAGAAGCGGTATTTTCGTTTATTCGTTTTCGTTTTACTTTTTGAGCTCACGGCAGAAAAGAGCTACAACAACTCTCGATGATTAATCACCTCGGCCCCTGTTGACGGCGGCCTAAGGCTAGATTATACACTCTCCTTTTTATCATTCGTATCAAATAATAAAAGTCTCATTCCGTAAGATCATACCGAGCGAAAATTTGCATGTTTTTTTTTTATCACGCGTATCGCCGTTTTTCTCTTTCGTAACCATCACTTTCGTAATGACTTCATGACGCTTTTATTTTTGTAAATTAACTGAAAAAAAAATTTAAATTACAATCCTGAGTTAATACCTGACATCAAGGACGGAGATGCGTAGAAAATGTTTAACTGCCTTATAAATAAGTGATTTTGTTATCGGCTTGATAATTATTTAGAAAAATATTAAGGATAAACGTTTGAGCACGTTCATGAGTGAGACTTTGTGGAAGATATCTGTTTATTTTAAGACGACAATTGTAGAATTCTTGT